CCCCAAAACCCCAAAACCCCATGTGTCTTAAATTAAAAAGGATTTAAAAGAAATCAGGTTAAAATAATCAAAAATAATCAAATTATATAATTAAACATATTCGAATCATTATTAATGTCATTCTTACTCACTTTAAACCTCATCCTATTTCTCAACACATTTTGCGATGAAAATAATGCTTGTTTATGATTAGTCGAGGAGAGCTCGACTAATCATAGTAAATTTTTTTAGAATTTTTTCATCAAGCCTGAAAGATTTTGTAGGATAATAGGCATCCTCCATATCAAATTAACTTTATGGATCCCAAACTAAACTTATTTTCAACGCCTTAATCACATTAGAATCAATAATCACTTTCTCACATTCCATAATCCTCTCTTTACTATTTCCACCTTTAAATAAACCTATGAAATTGATATCTAAACATACCAGCATTTTAGGGCCTCTAATTTTCCAACTAGGTATCCTATCTATTATTCGATTGAGTGGAGTGAGCCTCTTCTACTATCCTTAAAAATGAGTAAACTCTACATATTCTAGTCCTTTTAACTTCTCAATTTCTTTTTCAATATAGTGTTGTGCATTAAACACCACAGGTTCGTGTAAAATTATCTCCCTTAGTTAATCATGAAACAATGCGATGCAACTATCATCAAACATTCCGTTTATTATTAGCTTATTAAATCCCAACTTTTAGTATCTTACAATATTTGGATTTCCCTCAACACTGCATTCAATCAAACTCAGTGTTTTACATGGTAGGACTAAATGATCCCTCTAAAAGATCAGAGATGCGTTCACTATTTAAAGTTCTTCGCATTTATATTGCATAGCGTGAAGCTCATATGTCTCATCCTTTAATGAAAATTCATAATAGGTTTTCAATGTGGAGAGCCAGAATATTTATATTTAGTAAATTTTTAAGTTGATATTCTCTAATCTCTAAATTAACTCATTTATTTAATCCTAATTGCAGGTGGTCTCTTTAAAGTTTAAATAGAGTTTTTTCTGATAAGAAACATCCAAAAGACCTGAAAATAATGGAAGCAGTACCTCGATATCATTAAAAGTCAAATCTCTTATGTTAATTTTGAAGCCATCATAAGTAGTGACAAGTTTTTGAATCCTTTCAAGATTGAAATATTAATGAGGATAATTCAAATCAAGTACTACACTTTCCTATCTATTCTTAAAGTAGACTAGTTCAAAAAATTTAGATACAAGTCTAAGATTGAGTTACTCTTAAGGACTAAATTGCTAGATTATAGTCAGAACTGATGCAATCGAATTCATTTTATAATTTTCCAGTTTTAAATTTATTATTATTCATTAAAATTACATTATTTTTTTAAAAAATATCCACTCGGGGTTTTGGGGTTTTGGGG